GGGGGGGGGGGGGGGGGGGAGAGAGATAGTAGGAGCCATCCCATCCCAATAGCACTTGATCATATCACGATCTGATTTGTAATCTTACTTGGGTCTTGAGTATTTACTTGTAAGAACGGAATTCTTTGTTTTTTAATGGATGGTTTAAAAGGAAACTACAAAGTTGAGATTGAGACGATTGATATTGTTTTAGGGATAGTAGCTCAAAATGGTTACTAGTTTAGGGTGAAATGAAAGATGAGAAGTATGACTAAAGTAATCAAACCAAATGAATATATCAAAAAACAAAGATAACCAATTTCACTTGGGACTCTATAAAATTATTAGAGAACGGAACAAATACCTTGTTCAAATAGTTCAGCTGCAAAAGGCAAAAGATGAGGACAAACACTATGAAAAACCATGTCTCAAAATACTTGAACTGATTTTGTCCTCCAAATGTGAGCTTCATAGCCATTCCAATTGCTTTGACACCCATAACCTGAATTAACCATAAGAAACAGCCAACAGATAAGATATAAGAAATGCACACCTTGAACAGTGGACTATAGTATATATCATAAAAGAGAACAACAGACCGTGAGAGAACCCGCTAGAGAACAGATTCCAATGTAGACAACCAAATGCGACTGCCCATAACGAGGCACAAACCGCACAATAAGGATAAGTACTAGAATCATAACTGTGAAAGCGTAGGCGAGGAACCCTGTCCTTGTCAAAAACCTTTTGGTTAGTTCAAACAAACAAAGCATGTAGATATTCAAGGGAAGATAGCAAGTATGTGTATTATAATTTGTGAATCCAACTGTCACTTCACTATTACTACACGAAATCTTTAGCCTTGTGTTTACTTCAGGTTCGATGTGTTTCTTAGAATCTTTTAGTCTTTTCAGAAATTTATATGCCAGTAGAGAATTTATAGTACTAGAGGAACTTTTCTCTTTTTATCTAGAGCCTAAATACAGCAACATGGATACTGAGGATTCATATAGCCGACTCTGACTTGGTTGGGATTGAAGCATAATTCTTCTTCTTGTTGTAAACACAAATTTAAGGATAGTGGAAGAATGTAACTGGAACTGCAACTTTAGTATACCTGGCTCTGTTGCTAGGTACCAGACATCCTTAACAGATTGAATACTCTTTTCTAGCGGCGCGTGTAAGACAATAGTGACAGAGCCAACCAAACAGAGGAGACAACCAACCATACCAAAGATATGTAACCTCTCCTTCAAAATAAAATGGGCTAACACTGCACTGCACATGAAAGTTATATCAGTATTGAACCAATAATAGCTTCTTTGATTAACAATTCTAACACCAATTATACTACATAATCACATACCTTACAATCATACTTAAAGCTCCTAGGGGTGTCACAAGTATTGCCGGGGCATATGCATAAGCAGCAAAATTAGCTCCCTCTCCAATAATCACTATAAGAAATCACAAGATTAGCGTTAATATAACTAAAAAACTGACTGTTCCTGAAATGTTTTAGAAGTAGATATTATTGCGCTGATCACTTCTTTCAAATTGGGAATTACAGCATTCCATCATCTTCATGCATTTTCTCTAAGTCAAGGTCTTTGTAGAGGTTAATTTCATCGAAATACTTTCACCCTGTGTCTGTAATATACTTATTATATTTGACAAATGTCTAGCGTCTTTCTCATTCTATAATGAATAACCATATACAGTCAAACCTCTCTATAACAACCTCATTTGTTTCGATATTTTTTGGCTGCTATAGTGAAGTGCTGTTATAATGGACATATATTATAACACAACATAAAAATCGGTTTTAAGAAAAACTTGGCTTTTATAGTGAATGACTGTTATATAAAGATGTTATAGAAAGGTCTGACTGAATATGTTCTTTCTCATAAATCTTAAGTATGGAATTAAGCAGATGAATGTCTGGCGTGGATGGCGCGGACCTGCTTTTGCCAGTAACATAAATGTTGAATCTCATTCTAACATCTGATATCAATTGTCTTAGCTGTTGAGTGGCAATCAATCAAGAATTCTACAGCATTCATTGAGGTCAAAAGAATAAGAATGTGCACTGCCCTAAACCCAGGGAGTTTCCACAAGTGGGGTTTGGGGAGGGTAGTGGTACGGAAACCTTACCCCCTACCCTGGGAGGGCAGATAGGTTGTTTCCGATAGACCCTTGGCTAAAGACAGGATGAAAAGAATCGGTGGCAAGTGTTAGCACATTCGAAATGTTAATTTCTTAAGTTAGATATTGACCTGCATTACAAATATACATAACCACCTGTATAATTATTGAAAGAAAAGAAAAACAGTGTTTTAGGTGCTTGCTCAAAGGACTTTGTGTTCTATAATATATGTAGGTTTTCTCACGCGCATAGTATCATATGCTCGAGGACTCATACAACAACAACTATGCCTCAATCCCAAGGAAGTTGGGATCGGCTATATACTCAAGAACTGTATAAAATAACAACATTTTTGGGGTGAGTTATGTGTCTTACTGGATAACATTCCAGCCCACCAACAAGGTTCCAACAAGTAAGAGTGGCCTCCTGAACCTGTTCAAAATTCAGCATAATTGGAAATCATTATAACAGGATCAATTTGCCTAGCATCAATTGAAATCAATAGATTTGCTTTACAAGAAAAACTCATATATTGAACCCATAGAACTTAAATTTTGAGCCCGCCTCTGTATATATATGTGTGTGTGTGTGTTTTACATTCAAAACGTCTTGAAGTATGCTAAACTAGTCAAAACACAGAAACTCATGCTAATATACCCTTTAGCCTTAGCATGAAGGATGATAAGACATAAAAAGGTCAGCTCGATGCACGAAGCTCCTAGCTATGCGAAGGGAGAGGGAGGCCGTGGAATGGTTGGACTATATTGAGTACCTTATATTTTCTGCAAGAGGTTGTTTTCATAACTAGATAAGTAAGATGTACAAGAAAAATAACAAATCCCCACAAAAACTAAGCATATTCTCATAATTGACATAACTAAACCACCTCATTGGGTTAGGCACATGTCATGAGTTCAAGCCAATTATCCCTCGAGTTTCGGACCAAACTAGCCCTTGGGACTTCTCGGTTAGCCAAAAAAGAACCCGACCACATTGTTTAACGAATCAAATAAATTTAACAACTCAAAATATAGAGATAAAATTATGCCACAAAAAAAAAAAAAACTAATGAAATAATGAAAAAAAAAAGAGAGTAAACCTGCTCGTTTTCCATTTGCACCAGCTTTCTTTAGACCTTGCTTCTTAATAACAAAGCTAGACCCAATAAAAATACTGGATGATATAGCTAATATAACTCCATGCACATTATCAGATATTCCTTCCATTTTTTTAAAAAAAAATGGAAAGGAATAATCACATAAAAAGAACTCTTGATATTCAAAAGCCAATTATTTAACGCAAATGAAAACCCTGCATTAAACACAAAACCAAATAAAACAAAATTATCAATTACGTACAAGAAAAATAATTTCATAGCAAAATATAAAAAAAAACTCGAACCTTTTTCTTGGCTTTTGTTTGCATGAGAAAAAAACGTTGATAAATACCCAAACCACCAATATTTATCCAAAATATATATATTTTGGTTGCTTTAATAAAGCGTCGATTTTTTTTTATAGTGATTTTCAATATTTCTCTGACCGGCTTGTTTTTTTTTTCTTTCTTTTTTTTCCCTCTTTTTTTGTTTCTCTCTTTCTCTCTCCCTCTCTCTGCAGAAAGTTGCAGAAATGAGAAGAGAAAGAGAGGGAAGAGAGAAAGGAGGAAATGAATATTTTGGTGGTATATTTTTGCTTAGAGAGAAAAAAAGTCCGTTACACTTAACAATTTAGAAAAATAAAATCGCTTCAAATTTCAAATTTACGTTAGCCACTTATTTTTTCTCCCATAATTTCCCGCCTTTTTTGCATGTATTTTTTGCCACCTTCAATTTTAATACTTTGGACTGGGCGCTTTAAAGAAATAAGTTTATCATTTCACTACACTCAAATTCAAGAACTCGAGAATGAACTAACAATGTCTTATTCAAGTATCTCCATATAAAGTCGCGTGAATGATATTATTGCTTATTAATTTGATGATTCAAGAATGAGTTCATCACGACATGAGTTTATGGCGTTCTTAAGAGAAATTCAATTTAATACTCATCGTAAATCCACTCATGAAATTATTATTTCATTTTGAAAATGTGTAAATAGTAGTAAGACGAGTGAAAAATATCCAAAAAGTCCAAGCTTTGTTATACTCGAAAAAAAAAAGACCAGGGATACTTTTATTCGTGTCGAAGCTCCAAATGTAGTGTATTTAATTTTTGGATGGTCTGATACTGATGCGATAATATTTTTGGAAAGTTCACGCAACAAAAATATCCAATTCAAAGTAGCTAAAAATGATATACTAAGGTCATTAATATTTGTTTAGAACAGTGGTCTCTGATTATTGATTTTGTATTTGTCTTAATTTACCGAGATAAAACTAATTAATGTAGGTAATTTATATGTATAATTTCTTTTATCTTCAACGAGTCCCATTATGGGATTATACCACTGAAAATTCAGGAGAATAATAGTTCTTGATCTTTGATAAGCCATTAATTAGTTCTGGTAATGTCAAGGAAATTTTTTTAAATGCTTGTACCAAAAATTTCGTTCAAATATCAAGCAACGACGCCTAAATTTCAAATTAGTTTAGCTCGACTATTAAAATGAGAATGCTGGTAAGCTTAAGCATAATTAATTTAGTTTACTCCATTAAATCAAAGACCACTCAACTAGTCATCATAGATAAATAACATAGGTTTAGCAAATTTATTCAAAACGTAAAATTAGTTGAAAAAAAGAAGACTAAAAACAAGTACACAACAATGATGTACCTTCTATGTTCGGGTCCTTCAAAAATGTTGTCAGGTGTGTGTTGTTATGCATTTTTGAAGAATTCGAAATGAATGTTATGGCGGTACTTTTGGAGGATCCGAGGAATGTATTGTAGCTTCATATGTGAAAGATAATGTCTCAACTTGTGGTCATGCTTGGCCTCGATATTCATCGGACACTTCGATTTTCAAGCTTCGACCTCCGCCATCGGGCTCGAGCCCAATCTATTTCGGACTTCTTCTTGAAGCAGTTCCTCGAGCCCACTAAATCGGGCATACCTGATTTTGACCGTATACAAACTCCGAACACTATACAAAGTCTTGGACAATGTACTCAATCGTGCAACATTTTTAACAAGAAGAAAAGATAGATTTTTTTTGCAAAATTGGTTCTGATAATTTGGATATGTAATCCACTGCGACATCCATACTTTTGACAGAGAATAGTTATATTTTATTTTAACCTCTCAGTCTGCCACGGAATACAGAGATATACTGTCAAACTTCTCTATAACGATCATCTCTAAAACAACGCTTTACTATAACCATCAAGTTTTCTTTAGAACCAATTTTAATTTATGTTATAATATATGTTATTTTTAACAACACTTCATTATAGCAGCAAAAAAATATCTAAACAAACAAGATTGTTATAGAGAGATTGGACTGTACTCAAAAGTATAAAGAGTCTAATTATATGCACTAACGGAAGAATCGGATCATTTATTAGGTAATTTCAAGTAAATCTCTTACTTAATAAATACTCTACTAACTAGTAATCTGGTAAATAGTAACTAACCATCAACATGCATTTAAAGATTTTTTTTTTGTTTGTTTTTTGGAGAATTTATTAGGAAGAACTGCGCAAGTAGAATTCTTTCCTTTTGTTTAAATATTGCTGTAAATATAGCATACATGCAATATTCAGAATAATAAGAATTTACCTGTTATATAATGACTCTGAAAGTTGGCTAACAAACACGAAAATAACATTTTCATAGTATCACCTTCCAACGCTGGGAACCAAATTTTACGTTTCAACAAAGAGGAAAACATGATAAACACCATTCAAAAGGGGCCGTGGTTCATCTATGGACATTTTCTCTCTGTCCAACGCTGGGAACCAAATTTTGTAGTATCTCCAGTGAAGCAATCATTCACGACAATCTAGATTCGGCTACCACAACTCCCAATAGAATTTTACGATGGAAAAAATCTACAAAAAGTTGGTAGTACAATAGGAAGGCTCCTAAAAATAGATGCTTGCACCTCAGCAGTACTGCGTGGTCGATATGCACGTCTATGCGTGGAACTGCCATTAAATAAGCCGGCGATACCCTTCATCTTCATAGGATCTCATAAGCAACATATACACTATAAGGTGAGAACCTATTGTGCAAAAACTGTGGACACCTAGGTCACTCTATAAAACAGTGCTATCGTGCCAAAATTAACGAGACTACAGGAGAGACAAAGTTAGGGACCCCCCCTCC